TAGGTGTTGCCAAGATCGTTAATTATCAAGTTTGGCCCATCTATGATTCAATCCTGTTAGAAGACACTATTAGATTTAAGTATTTCTGAAAATTAAATTATCTTCAGAAAATTTGTATCTAGTGTGTGTGAATAGTGTTATAGCATTACTGAGTATTCATGGTGTAGTTGGACAAAAGATATTTATTTCAAAACATAAGTGATACATAGACAGTAACATTGTTCATTTGTTCTTGCAAATACTCTAACTGGATACATTTATTCCAAGATATAAGTGATACAAAGACAGTAACATTGAAAATAGACGCCATTAAAAGTTAAAAATTAGTCTCAGAGTCAATTTAATTAATCAGGACCTCAATATAAATCACCAACCCCCTTATTATTACAGAGTATAAAGATAAACAAATTTAAATGTTTTATTAAACAACCAATTCATTGAACTTAATTCGTAATATTATTTCAACGAACAAACAAATTTTTAGAAGACAGATCAAGTTTTATCACAATTTAGCATATAGAATTTCTTGAAAACATATTCATGAATTTACATAACAGAATTGACTTTTAAACAACATAAATTTGATAAAAATATTCAAACAACTGTCGCTCCTGTATGTAAAACTAGTGAAATACTATCAAGGTTAAGTCTATTATAGTCTTCAAGTTTTAGCTCACATCAAAGTAAGCTGTTAATGGAAGATCAGCAATCATACATTCATTTCGAGCTCTGCTTGAATTATTCAAGCAACTCAGGCTTCAACTAATGAACACTAGAAGTAGAATTGTCTTCATCTCCAGGACATTAACACTCAAACTTTTCACCCGGCAATACTTGAATTGACAAGGATAGAGGGTATGCTATATAACTTTGACATTTACATGTATTCTCAATCATATGATACAAGCTGCCAATGTAAATAAAAACCCTGATAATTCTGGCTATACTTCCAAATCATGAGCTGTGTCAAGGTCAATTCCATAGTCAAAAACAATTGGAAAAAATAGGTGTTTGAGTAAATGTGAAACTAGGGATGGGCAATGTAGAATAATCTACTATTCTAGAATAGTTAAATCGAATCCAGAATACCGAATCCTATTCTATTTTCATACTTATTCAAATAGTGGGAAGCTTCACCTTGCTGGATTTAACTGTTAAAAAATGTAAATGTATTACTATAAATGTATTATTTATTTGGAAATGTCCTGAACATTGAATTTCATTTGATACTAAACAGGCTTTCCCAGAACCAAAACAATAAAATTTAGGTATATTATTATATTGTTCCAAATGTATGTGATACCTAAATACTGATAAGCTAAAGTAAGACACGCTTTACACACTTTAATAGTAAGAGGCTAAAAACAAAAATAGATATGAAACGGCGTTAAATCATTATTAATGTTAGTCTGCCGAGTGTTCTAAAACATACCAGCTGAGAATTGAATAGATTCACTACCAACGTGTGGCCACTGCAACCTATGCGGCCGTTGTAAAATATTAAATTTAACCACTATCAATTAAAATCAACTTTTTATTCTGTGCAAGCAAGACTCGTAAAACCAGGCTCCCGTAAACGTGATTTCTTACTTAGTTATTAGGTAATGACATTTAAAGACAAATTCATTTTTTTTAATTTTTGTTACATATCATTATTTACCCAGACTTGGCCCTACTCAAACTCAATACGTCACTATATTCGCCAGATGCGGCAAATTTTTCCAAATTTACTGAAGTTACACAGTAATATAATTTGTCAAGTCTCTCACCCCACCTCAAAAATAACTATCTGGCACTAAGCTAAAAATAACAGATAAATAACAGACAAATAACAGAAAGGCGAAAAGATGTTGTATTCAAAAAGATGTTAAAAATATGTGGATGGAACGTAAATGCCCGAAATGAAGAAATGTAAATATCTAAAATAAGGTGGGCAAGTCGAATCTAACAAAAAATTTTATTTTTAATCAGCTTTAATTTGTCAAGTCTCTCACCCCACCTCAAAAATAACTATCTGGCACTAAGCTAAAAATAACAGATAAATAACAGACAAATAACAGTAAGGCGAAAGTATGTTGTATTCAAAAAGATGTTAAAAATATGTGGATGGAACGTAAATGCCCGAAATGAAGAAATGTAAATATCTAAAATAAGGTGGGCAAGTCGAATCTAACAAAAAATTTTATTTTTAATCAGCTTCACACCCCCTCTTGCCCACCCACCTCTCAAACTTTTTAAGTCTCGCGCCCCACCTCAAAATAACTACCGTAGCTAGCAATAAGCTACAAATAACAGATAGTAGGGCGAAAGTTCGACATGTTTCAGCCGAAAAACTTTGAAAATATGTGGTTGGAACGTAAATATCCAAAATAATGAAAATATAATTAAACAAAACAAGGCGAGCAAAATCAAATCTAACAATAGCTTCACACCCCCTCAAAAAAGTGTCCGTGCCAATGTGAGGAACATTCAACAACTCGCCATTGAGAAGTCATGATGCTGATTTGGCCTAGTCTTGTTGCAGCTTTATCATTTTCGATTTTTCTACTAAACTGAAACTTTTTGGATATCTAGATGTCCATTGAGTTATTTGCTACATGCCTGAACTTTGAAAACACGACTACAAACTGAAAAACAACTAGCGAACCCACAAAAAAAATCAACCATGCCTAAAATTCTATTTTTACTGCACATTTTGAGATAGTTTTCACGAGTTGACATTGGTGCTAGATGTTTCATAATCATCATTTGATTCAAAATGTTAAACAGCCTGTCATTCTATAAAAGTACTGATATCTAATTCTAGTCTATTACACTTTTTTAAATAATACAACAAATGAACTAAAACAATGCAATCCTAGCGATTTGGGCTTGATATTTAAATCTCTTGCCATCTCATATTCTAATCCCATGACCAGAGTGTAATGAAATGGGATAGACAATGTCAAACAGATATTAATTTCCTCAAAAATTGTAGCTTCTGACATATTGTTATACAGGGCGTCCATAAAGTCCCTTTTCGATATTAATTTTGTTATGAAGACACTCATTATATTTTAATCAGGTTTGTTGGTTTTTAATCAGTAATTGTTCAAGTATTTTTACTTCATTTAATCTGTGGAGGCTAAAACAATATATGGTATCGATAAATTTCCAGCTATAATTTCAAGATTTATAGACATCAGTTGATTCTTATACTGAGTAAAAACTTCAAAAATATTATTGTATGAACCCACCTGATGCTCCAGTGTCTTCTTTTCTATCCATGTTGTTGGTTGAGCAGGCGATGCAATTGCAAGTGTTTTAAGGCAGCTTTTTGGGTTTCAGCAGTTCAGTGCATAAACATTAGGAAAGTTAGATAACTTTACAAAAAGATCATCGAACTGCAATAAATGAAAAAATTCATTACAAATCTGTCCTAGCAAAAAGTGTCATTGCTCAACTATGGGACTGATTTAACTGACTCAGCTAATTACGAGTAGGAATGTGCCCTTTTCACGAAGTCATACTTCCGAATTCAGAGTTAAACTAAATTATTGCTCATCTACAACTGAATATTATCTTCAAAAGGCCGATGGTTAATGCTGATAGGTAAGTACAAAAACAGTGAATAAAATAAAATATTTCACATCTTCTAGTATAGATAAAATATATTTCATCAAATAATAATTGTGGTTTGTCATGATGAATCAAGAGTTATGAACAGTTATGAAAACTGAAATAGATACTACAACCTCCATATCTGGAAACGCACTTGAAAATTAGGCACTCTTTAGACACTTCGAACAAAACAAAAAATGGGTGTAATAACTTTTAAAAACATAATGAAATAATTATAATGAAAATGTAATTTCCATTTTCTATCTTTTCCCAAGGGCCTAGTGTATCTTTTGATCCAGTGCGTGCATCTACTTCTAATAATGCCTCCTCCTTGTAAACCGCCTTGTAGGATTTACTCGTTGCACTTTGCATGTTCAACATTTAATTTGTTTAACAATTCATTATTTTTTTAAACTCATTACGCTCAATTTACAAAGTGCCTATTTTCAATTGCCTACTTTTAGTTGGTCCTCCATTTCAGGCACATATACTTGGAATGACCAACTATTATGAACTATAGCTATAAATATTACATGCAACATAAATCATGTAACCACTAGCAAATGTCACAGATCACAATAACTGTATCAACCGCTCAAATCACTGTAGATTAATAACTTTTTATTCAACCTCACTCTCATCATATTAAGAGTAGATGAGTTTGCTTTGTTAGGTTGAAGTTTTAGCAGCAAAAGTACAAAACACAATCTCAACCAATATATTGGCCAAGTGGTATATCAGCCTAATATTCAGACTTTTCAGGTTTAGGCAGGTTTGTTGTATAAGATATGAATATTATGAAAATGCACTTAATTGTAAGGCAGAGTTGCACATTAAGATATTATCAGTGGTTTTTCTTTTGTTCCCAGTAAAATTGAAGCAGGCATAAAGAACTCTGAGATACATTGAAGATAAAATTTGGAATATTTTACCTCCCACAGTCCTAGCATTGAAGAATTGATATATCCAAATTTGAAACACAGTTACGCAATCACTTTCTCTCGTTATATTCTTCATGAATGTGTATGGCCTTTCCCCCATATCATGGTTTTACTATTTCAGTGTATCAACAGAATGATTCTGAATTTTTACTACTTTTTTGTTTTGTTTGTTGATATTTTTACATTCATTGAGTCTAGCATGAGTATGAGGTACTTCTTTAATATCTTACTAATCCATCTACTATACATACATACTATAAATGCCAACTTAAAATCCATTTTTCGATTATCTCTCTGAATTCTCTATTAAAAAGCAAGCTACAACTACCAGAACAGCATAGCATCGAAATATTATACAGGGGAATTCCCTGATTTGAAAAATAACAAGGTGAATTATTGCTCTGCATTGCCATCTTGAGGCTGAGCTGTTTTCGCATAAAAGAGTGAGTGAGAGATTTATTGCCACAAAAACAAAATCAACACTAATATAAACAATAATAGATAATAATATAATGAAGAAAATATTTCATCAGTAATAAACAGCGATTGATTATTGTTTTGTGCGGGTCAGTGTGCAGGACCGATTAAGGTCATCTAGGCTCCCGACCCTTTTGTAAATGCTGTATATAAGGTTATCATGGCATAATATAGTACCATGGGTAAATGCAAATGGGATTAAATAAAATATATATAAGATAAAGAAATGAGTGAATGAGTCGGCAATTTAAAGTTATTATTATTAAAGTTATCAACGGGCAATTTAGGATTTTGAGAGGTCATGTACCGATGTAACCGATCATGTCCAATGAAAGAATTAAAACAGTCAAAGATTTAAAAAAAGCTTTTTTTTTTTTATTGGACACAGACCGAGATCAAAAATTGAAAGATAGGGACAAGAAAATAATAATATCATCACAGATTCAGTAATGGAGTGCATGACGTAAAAGTATCATTTGACTCCTTTTGGCACCTTAATTAGTTCACATGAAGAAGCAGGGGAAAAATAATAACAATCGATGAATATTGTTTAATTGCTACCAGCATTCATAAGTATTTATACATACTTGAATAAGGATTCGAATATTTATGTATTATCCACAATTAAATATACAGCTCACTTGTTACACAATGAGTTTAACAATATAAAAAGGTTATTAGGTAAATTAATTTACGAAATGAAAGCATGGAAAAACACAGTGACAATCACTGAATACTGTATGGTGGCTACCAACATTCATAAAGATTTTTAAAAATATGAATTAGAAATGGAGTATCAATGTATGATCCACAATTAAATATGCTATTGATAATGCAGTTCATCACTTATTATATAATTAGTTTAACATGTAAATAGGTTAATAAATTAATTAATTTACAAAGAGGCTAACAACATTTACAAATATTCATACCAAGCGTACTTGAAAGAGAACTAGAATATTAATGTATGGCCCACAATTATATATGCAGTTCATTTGTTACAAAATGAATCTTAACAATATAAAAAGGTTATTAGGTAAATTAATTTACGGAATGAAAGCATGGATAAACACAGTGACAATCACTGAATACTGTATGGTGGCTACCAACAAATATGCTATTGATAATGCAGTTCATCACTTATTATATAATTAGTTTAACATGTAAATAGGTTAATAAATTAATTTACAAAGAGGCTAACAACATTCACACCAAGGGTACTTGAAATAGAACTAGAATATTAATGTATGGCCCCCAATTATATATGCTGTTCATTTGTTACAAAATGAATTTCAACAATATAAAAAGGTTATTAGGTAAATTAATTTATGAAATGAAAGCATGGAAAAAACACAGTGACAATCACTGAATACTGTATAGTGGCTACCAACATTCATAACGATTTATAAATACTTGAATTAGAAATGGAGTATCAATGTATGATCCACAATTAAATGTTCATTTCATCACTTCTTATACAGTGATTTTCAACAATATGAAAAGGATATTAAATTAATTTACGAGATGGAAGCTTGGGAAACACACTGACAATCACCAACATTCATAAAGATTCATAAATACTTGAAATAGAAATGGAATATTAATGCGTGTTCCACAATTAAGTATGCCCAACTAGATATGCAATTAATATGCAGTTCATCATTTATTGCACAATAACTTTTAGCAGCATAAAACGGCAATTACAGTATATTAAACAGAAGTATACGGATCAGGGTACTTGGATAACAAGAATTTTTTCATATTTTTATTGAAAGTATATGCTGAACAATTTTTGATGTCAGGTGGTACAATGCCCCAGACCTGGACACCGCTATATTTCAGTGATCTTTTTTCAAACTCCGTGGCTACATGAGGGGTAAAATATGACCTATTTTTTTGGGACCTAGTGGTGTATTTATGTACATCTTGTAGCCTAGTGAAATAGTGTTGGAAAGCAATGGGAACAAGGCCATTTTCATGCCGATGCATGAACTTGGCTATTTCAAGTGTATGCATTTCACACAGCTGTAAGATATTAAACTGTCGATACAGCTGAAAATTGGTTATGTGAGTTTTTTCTGAAAATGCCATACATCTTAAAATTTTATTTTGCAAAACTTGTATTGGCTGCAATAGAGACTTATTTGTCGACCCCCAGCTAAGTATACCATACTGTAATCGCGAGTGAAATAAACTATAGTAGACCAATTTGAGTGTTTCAGGGTTCAAAATATACCTGAGTCTGTAAAATATTCCAACAGTTTGAGATAATTTCTTAGACAAATCGGCAATATGTGCCTTCCAGCTCAATTTGTCATCTATTGTAACCCCAAGATATTTAATACTTTTGGTGCGGTCAATTATGTTATTGCCTAAGGTTACTCTAAAGGTTGTAATATCTCTTTTTTTGCTACAAAACAGCATAAATTTTGTTTTGGAATAGTTTAGAGATAATTTATTTGTTTTCAACCACTTGTCCACCTTATGGAGATCGAAATTCACAGAAGTTTGAAGTTCAGATGCGCATGAAGCAGATTTTAACAGAGAAGTGTCATCCGCAAATAGGGTTGAAAAGAAGGAAGAGGCAGCAGGTAAATCATTTATATAGCACAGAAATAACAATGGGCCTATTGTCGAACCTTGAGGCACTCCGCATTTAATGAGGCCCATTCCAGAAATATTCTCCCCATTTTCAACATATTGCTTACGGCCACTTAGGTATGATGAGATCAGACGAAATGCTTTACCTCGAATGCCGTAATGATATAGTTTTTCCAGTAGAATACGATGATTTACAGTATCGAAAGCTTTCGCAAGGTCTAAAAATATGGCACAGGTGACCTTATTATTTGCACTGTTTTCTATTATTATTTCTTTAAGCCTAGTTATAGCTAACTCAGTGGAGTAATTGTTCCGGAAACCAAACTGGGATTGACTCAAAGTTCCCATTTTATCAAAAAAAAATTTTAGTCGATTATACAGAATTTTTTCGTATATCTTGGCAATTTGTGACAGTAGGGAGATTGGCCTATAATTGTTTGGGTCATGCTTGGATCCTTTCTTGTGAAGTGGCACTACTTTGGCTATTTTCAATATATCTGGATACACACTTTCATGAAAACTTTGATTAAAAAGCTTGGATAAAATGGGAGATAAAACATATTTGGCAGTTTTGAAAAGTCTTACAGGTATTTCATCGCTGCCTACAGCTTTTTTAACATCCAATTTATCAATTTGTTTTTCTATTTCTAGTGAGGTGGTGCTACGAAGAAAGAAAGACTCTTTGACGCTTGGCCCAAGATTATTCATGTGACTATTCAAAGCTGGACCTATTTTAGATGCAAGCTTAGGACCGACTTCCAAAAAATGTTGGTTCAGTGTACAACAAATGGCATTTCCATCAGTAATTCTCTTACCATCCACTATAATATGAGATGGCAGCTTGTTTTTCTTAGAGGAGTTGCCAATTATTTCACGAATGTGAATCCATGTTTTTGCCATATCTTTTTGGCAGCTAGAAAGAACGGTTTTATAATATTCTTGTTTAGCCTTTGCAAGATTCCTATATAATTTATTCCTATATTTTTTATATTCTCTTATCTTTACTTGAGATTTGCTTTTACAACACTTACTATACATTTTATGTTTGGTTTTAATGGACTTGTAAAGATCCTTCGAGATCCAGGGTTTAAGCTTAAGTTTACATTCCTTTAAATTGCTTTGGAGAGGAATGTGCTGGTCTACCACAGACTTTATTAAATTCAAAAGTGAATTAAATTTTTTGTTGATGTCATAGGAAAATGAGAGATCTTTTTCGATTACAAGACTCAAATGGTCAACAAAATTTTCAGGATTATAATTACTATAGTCACGTCTACGTGTTTTAATTTGGTACCTCTGGCATGCTAGATGTATGTGAGCCAGGACAGGAAAATGATCAGAAATGTCATATTTTATAATACTAGTAATTGTTTTATATTACTCTATTGAAATAAAAATGGTCTAATAAAGTAGCTGTTGTTTCAGTGACGCGTGTCGGTTTGTTAATGCCGCATAGAAAACCACAAGAGTGGATGCTGTCCACATACCTGGTGACATTATTGTCTAATTGATATTTCATCAAATCAACATTAAAATCCCCAATAATATATGTACAATTTCCACTGGAATTCACTAAATTTAGAGCTTGTATAAATTTATCTAAAAAAACATCATATTTATATGATGGGTGCCTATATATGACTGCAATAATAAGATTTTTGGCATTGCAGTTAAGTCCAGACTGATCGATTTCAATCCATAAGTCTTCGCATCCCACTAAATTTAAGCTAAGATCAACACGTATGTGATATTTGATACATTCTAGAATATATAAACCTACTCCTCCTGCTTTAGTACAGGAATCTTTACGTATAAAATCATATCCCATAATGGGAACATCTGGAGAGGCCTCTCCCAGTTTGGTTTCGGAGACACCTATTATGTCAGGCAATCTTTTACTGGGACCTATTAAATACTCAATTTGAAGACTATTTTTTTGTAAGCTCCTTACATTAAAATGGAGAATATTAAAAGTAGTTTGGCAATTTTCTAGCAATTTTCCAACAACTTCATTCGAATTAATATAATCGCATCCGGTAGCCCAATCATCTACATCATTTAATTTTGAGGTGGGATAGCATTGGTTTTCTATTGCAGCCATTACAAGGTAGACTGTTTATTAGGCATAGATTACATAATAGGGTGAGCTAGAATTTATCAACAAATGGAACCTTTCTTGGGTTAGTTTAGAACAGGTAAAATGAATACTCTCAAGACATAGATTGCAAGAAATATGATTGACATCATCTGTGACTATAGTATGACAAACTTTGCACTTTTTAAAAAGTGACATTATTACAATTGTAGAGTAAAAATACACATGACCTCATGATAATAAGCGATATGATTACAAAATAGATTATCATCGAATTTTGTCCAAATCGATCTCATTTAAAATTTTTAGACTCTTAGCCGACTCATTTTTTCTAACATAAACATTTCCAGAATGTGTCCATATAAACTTGTATTTAAATTTATCTTTTAACGAGCGAGCTTCATTAAAAAGGAACTTTTGCCACTCCGTCAAATTTTCATTAATAAAAATTGATTTACCTCCATTTTCCTTGACAAGACCAGCTTTTTTTCGAAATAGCTCATTTCTTTTGTCCCTCCTACAGAAGCGAACAATTATAGGAGATCTTTTGCCAGCAACAAGTCGGTGAGAGGTAGAAATGTCTTCACTATTAAGTTTAACATTAATCATTTTGGCAACTCCTATTACTTTTTGATTGGTGTCTTCATTTTTTTGATAGGGTAACCCAACAAATTCAAGATTTAAGCGCCTTCCGTACTGTTCTGAATATTCTTGGGCCTCAGCCACGTTTTCAAGCTCTTCTTCCATAGTTGACAGACTTTGTTGCAACTTTGTTATTGCAGCCATCTGTTGAGATACCAGAGCTTCAAGTTTTGAAATCTTTTCTTTATCTTCTGCTTGGATTTTTTGAAAATTACTATGAGCAGTTTTCATATCACTTAATGATTGGTTCATCTCAGAATTATTTTTTTCAATAGCTCCAAGTCTAACAGTGAGTTGTTCTTGAGACTTAGCTAGACTGAGTAACACTTCTTCATTTTTGTTGCACATCTTCTCTATGTTCTTAGTTTGTTTGTCCAAATATGATGGCATTATTTGACCAAGCTTTTTATCTACAACAGCTTCAATGGAGTTGAGCATTTTTGTGATGAGTAATTCCTCCCTGGATTGAAGGAGATCATTAATATTATACAGGGGCAGTTGGACTTGCTGTAGGTTCACAGATGAGTCAAGCTCTGATGTTGTAGAAAGTGACGGATCCCTGCCAGATGTTGAGAACCTACTGTAACTTGTAGGTGACTTGGGTGCTGTTTCACTTTCATATAGGAAACTAGCTTCGAACACATCATTTCTTTGATCCATTATTTGAGTCACACCGATAGAACAGAATCAGGTCAAACTGGAGCAGATTTACTTATGTAGAAATTTTATGTAACTTATATTTATTTATACTATTCTATAACCTTAATCAAATAGCAAATAACGCTTGAAATAAGGTAGCTTTGTGTTCTTAAGATTCAGAATCAGATATTTCGGATATTTTGAAAAATTACCTTAAAATACACATTCACGAAGAGAACAACAGATTACTACAGCTAGAGAAACCAGAGGAATGGGAAGAACTATCGTGATTTATTTCGTATAGATGGCAAATTAGCGACATCTAGTGATGATAATATCAAGCCAAACATCAAGCCTAATTTTAAACAGGGCTTATATTTGCATTACACAGCGTCAGAAAAAAGACAAACATCCTCACGAGAGTGGTATCGCTCATGTACGACCAGTAAATGACACCCGATTTTCATATAGTGTAAAATTCGAAGCTATGCGATTGTCAAATTGTCTTTATTGGCATCATTTATTTATTTATGAGAAAATTTTCTGACACACACATCTGCGTTTTTAACCCAGTGTTGAAGCATCATTCAAGAATATGACTCTTAGTATATTTATTTTCAGATCCACACATAAACACATAAAAGCCCATCCTGACGAAATAGCATCTTGTCAATTTTTTTATTGTTATTTATTTAAAAAATAAAAAGATCACTTTTTATACACACGATTGCACTTAAAAAAATGAGTTTATGATAACTTTCCACTTTCTTATGAGAGAGAGAGAGTTTATTTCATTTTGTCAAACCAAGCACACATAAACAAATATCAAAAAAATTGATTTCGGTATATGACTGGGGGGCAACGATACGACCTTTGGGGGTCATCAGAGTCAGTTGCCACCCAATTATATTAAATAAGCATAAAAATAACAGGTTCGTCTCAATATATCAATGTCTCTCACGATTTATACTATGTACAATATTTACATGAATTTACTATTTTCAATTATGGAAGCATTCTTTTAAATAATGGGATTTTGCACAAATTGAAATTATATTGCAAAATATAAAATGATCGAAACGAAAAAAAGTGGGAAAGCAGGTCAGACAAGCTACCCCTTATTTGGGTAACTTGTTTTATTGAATGAATTTAAGTTAAACATAACAAGTGGGATTTTGAACAAGCGAATATGGGAAGAGTTCTATTCTACACACACTAGTGCAATGTAATCAGAAGCATGGGTTGAGTCATCAAAACAAATTAGAATTTGGTTTAAACAACAAAAATGTGGTTCGACAGTTTACATTTTCTGGTTGCAATAATTCTTTCAGTCATAAACACTTTTTATCATATATAAAAAGTTGGTCAAACTGAGGCCTTTATTACGTAGTTTATCTTGCACTCAATAAAACACAGTTATACCTTGGTTTTGCTCTGCCCCCATTAAAAGTTTTCCATATGTCATATTAGGATTTAACCCATATTCAACAGTTAGCCATGCATTAACTATTTCCCAAAATTGTTGCACAAAATCACAGAAATAAAATAAATGTAGCACGGTTTCAACATTCCATTCACAAAATGTACATTTCGGACTTGATGTCTTATTTATTATCAATAATAGGTCATTTGTAGGTACTGCTCGCAAAGCAAATTTAACATGGAAAGGTCGAAGTTGCAATTCAATATTGCAATAAAAAAGGTGAAGATGTTTTTTTTATTTGGTTACTTGAATTAGCTTAGGAGAGTCCACGCTTGCAAAAACCACACTCTTGTGAAATATGTGAAAAGAGTTTTGCAGAATCAATCAAGAACACCACTTGCAAAATAAAACATATAAGAGCATGTTCTGGCAACACACCACTCATGCTTGTATTCTAAAGCAGCATTGATGATACCCTATTGGCAAACACTGTTGTGAAATATGTGGAAAGACTTTTGGATATTTTTATTCCATTCAACGAATTGCGCAAATACTTGGCACGTTAATTTCTCCAGCATGAATACTCAATATCTTAATGCTTTACACAAATGTGGCTTCTTTGTAGTGTTCTCTTGAATAAGTCAATTCAACTTTTGTTTCAGCTACAAAACACTTTCCATGTGTTTCAAAAATGTTTAATTTTTCTCTGGTATGAATCTTACGTTTTCCACAAGATTAATAAGAATACGTTTGTGTGTGCCATTTCATACTTTTTGCTGCTGTGAACACCTAACTACATATTTTGAAAATTGATGTATGCATTCATATTAATACCCAAATAAGGTCACAAATACATAAATAATTCGAAACGGCATACAAGCAAAAGAATACACTTTTGTGAAATATGTGGAAAGAGTTTTGTAGCCTCCAGCTGGTTCCATATGTCTATTTAACTTCTTCATAGCTACAAAACGCTTCCCACATGTTTCACAAATATAGACCTTTTCTGCGGTATGAATTTTGATAATTGTTGAATTGCAAAATACCTTTGCCACAAGATTTATAAGAATACACGTCTCTTTGATTTAGCGTATGTATTCAAAATTATATGCTACTGCAAATCAATTTCCACCTACAACACCACCTATAACAAAAATAGAACATGTTATTAAATTAACATGTAGGCAAATTTTAGAAAAAATATATGGAGAAGATAGGATAAGAATGATGGATATAAATGATGTAAAAGACAAAATGAAGAAAGTTATTTTATCTGTTCAAGAAATTTTGAAATCTATTCCCCAGGAATGGAAAAAAATATTAAGAGATAAAACAAGCAATCATATCCCCATGTCAAAGGAATTTAAATATGATTTTTCAGAAAATCCCACAACAAAAATATTGTATAGGAAAATATTAAAAAAGTTTAACAGTGACCAATGGAAACAGAAACGTTGTAAAATTATTTATAAATTTAATTTACGAACAGATTTTAATTGGAATAAAGTTTGGGCAAATTATATTCCCAGAAAATACCAGGTACTAAGTTGGAAGATTTTACAAAATGGGATTCCAACGGGAGAACGAATTAGACATTGGGCAGAAGATACAAATGGCAATTGCGTCTTTTGTAATGAAATTGTATTCATTTATTTTTCAACTGTTATTATATAAAATCCTTTTGGAAATGGCTAAATTTAACAAGTTATACACAGCATAATATTTTCACTCAAGATGTTGAAACTAAATCACTGAATCTAATTATCGCTTGTGGTAAAGCAGCGATTTGGAATTTTAGAAATGGCTTAATATTTCAGGAATTGGAAACATATCAGTCCATACTTAGAACTATGTTTAAATGTGTGATGATAGGATCTTTAAGAGGTATGAATGAATTTGTAAAAGAGGAAATATTAAAAGATGAAAAGATTGAAATTCTTTTAGGAAAATCAGTAATGCTTTGAATATGGTAGTGGTAGTTATAGTTTTCATACTTATTATCTGAAATTTATATACATTGAAATAATTCAGTTAAAAAAAAAAAAAAAAAAAAGGATCGGTTTGCGGGTTCGCTGTTTCATTGATTTGGCCATTTTTAATAAACTTGTTCCTCCTCTAATTATTTTAAACGTGGCGCGTGTATCATGGGTAAAAAGAATGAAATGTTTCGCAAGAAAATAGTAGCAAATAAAACCAACAGATAAATCTGGTTTATGCATCGATAGGGATCATAACAGCATAATAAAACAAGGATAACCCTTAAATGCGGGAAACGGAACTACGGGAAATTGTCTTGTTTTTATTTTTTTTGTAAAACTCCGGTTTCTGTGTGTTGTATTTAATTCGAAATGTTGCAAATGAATTTATGGTAAATAAGCAACTGAGAATATATTGCTACATATTTTATTTATCACTGGAATTGCTCAAAAATTTACTCATTGGTATCATCATATTATGCTTCATTCATACTGTCATATAAGCTCTGAATGGTATCTCGTTTTGTTATTCAGAAAAAAAAAAAAAAAAAATTTCCACCTACGTTGCAATAATATGGCTTTCATCTGTATGAGCTTTACTTCTGCATTAATACACATACACTGGAACATGTGAAACATTTGCTACATGTTATACAAGAGTATGACTTTTCAGAGTGTGTGTTTGTGCATGAGTCTTGCATAGCTGATTCAAAACGGCAGCAAATAAACACACTCTTGTGAAATATGTGAAAAGAGTGTTGTAGCTTCCAGCTAGTTTCCATATGTCTATTAAACTTCCTCATAGCTACAAAACACTTTCCACATAATTTTTCTCCAAAACGAATATTGATGGTTGTCGGATCGGTGATTGTCTGTCACAAGAATATGGTTTTCTCCAATTTGAGTTTGTGCCATTTCGAACTTCTTGAAGCTGTGAAACACTTTCCAAATACTTTGAAGGATAATAGATTTTTATCAAACTGAGTTCGCATAGGTATGTCAAGACGTGGTCTTAATTTACAACTTGAATGAATGAATGTGGGAAGCTTAAAAGCCAAGATCTTATAATCTTGTGTATCATGACTGAAATAATTTTTGCTATAAATTATTTGGATCACATAAAACGTCTGTGTGTACCTTTTTAAACTTCTTGCGGCTGTGAAATACTTCCCATGAAAAATGCAAAATCTATGGCTTGTTTCAAATGTAAATTCTTGTACGTATTTTACTAGAGCAAACATCATATATTTGCTTTGTTCAGGAGTGTATCGTTCGACATTAAGTTTTCTATATATCACAAAGACTTCATATAAATTCATTAAATTCTCACATCATTTACAATAACACTGAAAATAGAATAAGATTTGGCATTTGGGACTCGATTCAAGTATCCGTAATATAAAATTGGATTAAGCTTGAATGGAGCTATCCGAAATTCACGGTGGCCCAACGCAAAGTGACGTACTTTTAGCATCAAAAAACCATATTCTTGTGAAATATATGGGAATAGTCCTGAAACACCTAGTAATCAAAAGCGCCATTAGAGAATCAACATTGGCAAAAAACACTTTTTCGTAAAATAACTGGAAATAGTTTTGTAACATCAGTAATTTCGATAAATACTGCATTTACGCTGCTTTTATTATTAAATGCGTTCAGAGTCCCATTGCTTGTCACATATTGTGCACCACTTGTTTGCTTGTTGTACTCGTTTTTTTTTC